CTTTCAAATCCTTCTACTTCCTCATACTTTCAGCTACAGACACCATTTAAACTTTAAAATGTTGAGAAAACCCTGAGCTATTGCCACATGATTCAGCTTTGTGACATCTTTTACACTTTTTGAACTGCAGCAATTTAACTTTTATGATTTTTCAGCCCTTTTCTGACTTTATAATGGGTGTGTATTGTGCAGCTTAGAGTGCGTGATGTCACCGCTAGAGTGAAGAGCAGCTTGAGATTCTTGTGAAAAAAACATTTGTATTTTGCCACTGTGTCCACAATCTTCAATCTTCATGCATAATTTTTGATGGAGAAGTAGCTAATCTTGTCCTTGTCATAGACAAATGACTGTGGAATCCCACAGACTTACACATTTGACACAGAAGCCTATAATTGAGAGGAAAACCAACTTTCTGCTCCATAGACACCAATGTTAAATTTTGCTTCAAAAACATCTTCCAAGGAACATGGTACCCCATTTCTAGATCGCCAGTTCAGCCACATTTTTTACACTACAGACACAATTTTTACAGGATCTGTTCTTCAACTCATCCTTCCTCTCATTTATTAATATCTGAGCAATAGGAGCTACGGTTATGGGAGTTTTGAGGATTTGTTTGAGAGGTGTTTCTCTGTTTTATCTCCATCGAAAGGCTGCAAGGACACAGGTGTTTCTGATTAAGCTAATTAGTGATGTTGATAAACACACAGACTCACAGACACACGCACTCCTCTCTCTCTCTCTGGATGTCTCTCTCTCTCTCTCTCTCTCTGTGTCTCTCATACAGTCATTCAGGTCTTACAGCTTTTTACAGGACTCCCCCCCCCCACACACTCCATTTTAAAATAAAAGCCCCACAGAATGAATTCTAACTGAAATGCTTATGATGAAGCCTGACATTTAATAACCTGCTAGAGTTTATCTAACATTATAAGTCCATCTCTCCCCCCTCCCCCCCACACCCCATTTCAAAATAAAAGCCCCACAGATTGAATTCTAATCATTCTAGTCATTTAATAATCACACACATGATTTAGAGATATACTACGTGATGCAGCTCAGCCAATCAAATATGGGTATTCTGATAAGTTTCCTGATTCGAGTGACATTTACACACACCGCGACACAAGAGGGAGAGACGAGGAAAGACATGGCAGAGCAGGACAATAGTCATGTAAGCTGTAAAAGATAAAACATAGGACAATCTCCAAATGAGAAAGATTGCCAGAGAGATCAGAGTCTCTCTCTCTCTCTCTCTCTCTCTCTCTCTCTCTCTCTCTCTCTCTCACATGCATTCTCTCTCTCTCATGCATTCTCTCTCCTCTCTCTCTCTCTCTGTCTGTGTCTCTCTCTCATACAGTCATTCAGGTCTTAGAGATTTTAAGAGGATTGGATATCTATTTTCAGCAATGTTTTTGAGATTCATTTCAGCTTTCAGCATTCCAATGCATTTTCAGCAGGAAATGCATTTTCTAGTTTGTATTCAAGTCTGCAGTGTTGTGATTATGTGCCAGCACCAAATTCATCAAGAGCTGGTTATCGAATAGAACACATTTTTGGTACTGACCAAAATATGTCCTGTACTATGTCATGTGGTGAATGGCAGTCTTCTTTACCTCGTCTTTGATCAGGTAGTTGCTCATTTCTTTGAGAATTTTACCAATTTGATGCTCTTATTTATGTTGCGTTATGTTGTCATATAGTTCCTTGTGTTTAGACAACATTCAACATCTGAAATTTAGTACATGCAAGTTCATATATATTTTCCATTGGAATGGGATTTGCTCACCACGTGACCCAAGTATGGAACTACTGTAACATAATATAAGTTTATTGTATATGGAGATACATGGAGTGGTTGGTGAGAATTCCACCTAGACTCAGTGCAAGATCCGAGATAGTGAGCATTTCAATTGCTTCTCAACAACTCTCAACATGTTGTTGGCGCAAACTACATTGAAAGTACAGACAGAGCTCACAGTGTTAGCCTGAGGGGGAACCGGTGGGTTGCTGAGCATAGTTAGTTATAGTTAGTTTATTATTTTACCCTAGTTACCTGTGATGTATAGAATACAATACATATCTCAAAATGAGAATTTTCTCAGACTCTGAGAGTGAAATCTCCACTTCAGTAGCACTTACACAACTTTCCAGATTCATTCCGATTTATATTCTGGAAGTTTATTCAGAGGTTTGTTGATGTGTTTTTTGGGGGGGGGGGGGGGTTTCCCTTTTCCAATGCAAGGGTTCAAAGACAGCATGTTGTAAAGCCCTCTGAGACAAATTTGTGATTTGTGATATTAGGCTCTACAAATAAAATTGAATTGAATTGAATCGAATTAATAGCGTTAATAGCGAAATTTAAAGAACATGTTATTCCATTTTTAATGGTCATTGTCAGTATTGGCTGGTTTATGTAGTGATATAAAGAGATATTGAAAATCCCCTCTGTAAAAACCTTTGACTCTAATGTGTCAGCAAAATGAAACAAGAATTTTGAACCCTGCTTTGTAATGTTTGTGTGAGTTTAGCGCTCATTCAACATCTGAAATTTAGTACATGCAAGTTCATATATGTATGCCCTTTGAAACAGTAGTTTGAAAAAATCATGTTAAGTTGATCACTCACTAGCTTTTTTACTGAGTTTTCAACTGCATGCAGCTCACCACAATGGTGACAATGGTCTTACATAAATATAATTATGTTTACCATATTTACAAAAAGGCAAGAATAATCACAAATTTCTCTCGCCCTGGGGCAGTTTGCTCCGCTTTCTCTGGTATCTTCGGACCTGGTCGTCTTTTTCATAGAGGTTCTGCTTGAACCGTTTTTCCTCGTTTCATCTCGTTCTCTCTCTCTCTCAGCGGGATGCTGAATCATCTTATCACCCACCGTTTGTAGCTGCAGGGGTCATTATTGCATCTGCCAGTTAAAAAAATTACATCGCAGGTCATGTAGATGGCACAGAATGGCCGTAGTCAACGGGTCAGGAACACCAGACCGGCCAGCAGGGGTAGGGTTGTGGAGATGCCCTTCAGCGTCGAAAGTCTTTCTGACTTATTCTTGCTGTTATCTTCTAAGAAAGGGGTGCAGTGTTTGGCGCCTCTTGGAACAGACAGGATGGTGGTCTGTGAGCTTTAGTTGAGCGAAATATTGCAGGCCGACATGACAGGAAACTAGAATAATTGTATTGTTATCTCAACAAAAATTATTTATAAAATTAGATGATTTCAAATTTGCAGATTTTGGTAAACCTCAAGCTGGCACAGTTAATATATAAAGGTACAATATTTAGTGAGTCAGTAACCTAAGAAAAATTGTGGATCTACAAAATATAAATCCAATAAACAGGGATTTACTAGGACATGGTATTAGTGTGCATTTACATTTTGGTTTAAGATCTCTGGGGATGTAAAAGATGCATATATGAAAATACCTATGTAGTTCAAGCAAACTAAATTTTGAAAAACTATTTCAAATGGGAGACAAGGAGGGGAGATATATTTTGGTAAGGGGGTATATAGATAGGAATCCTGTTACTCTGTTTAATATGCTATATATGCACCCCCAGGAAGCGATCAAGGAGCGATCTAGGTTTTTTTCCAGAAAATCACCAACAACACCAATATCATGAAATAGAAACAGAAAGGACTCTTGATATGTGGGGGGGGGGGGGACTTAAATATACACCAACAGCCAAAGTTAGACTCCTCCAGTAGGAAGAGACATGAAAGGAAGTCCATATATAAGAAAGTCAACACACTTTTTGAGGAAGTTGGTTTAATTGACATATGGAGAGACCTGATATAGATATGGATAGAATAAACAATTGTGGGATTGGGACAATATATCTAAATGACCATGCACCCATATACCTCTCTGTTGATCTTAACTTGAGAACAGAGTACTACATAGAAACTGAATTCAAGTTTACTCAATGATCTGGATGTTAAGAAACAAATTAGAAAAGAGATTAGTCTTTACCTAGAATTCAATGACAATGGAGAAGTTTCACCTCCCATTCTGTGGGATAATTTAAAGGCTGTCCTAAGAGGGAAAATTATAGCAATATCCTCATATAAGAAGAAAACAAGGAATAAAATGCTTGAGGAGTTGTACAACAAACTGAAGGAATTAGAAAAAATTTAGCACGAGTTTAGCGCAAGATACATTAGGGGAAATTAGAAGAATTAGGAACAAAATTAATAGTTTTACTACACAAGAAATCAAGAGAAACTTAATGCTTTTGAAACAGAGACACTATGATAGTGGATCCAAATCAATGAAAATACGAGCATGGAAACGGAAAAAGAAGATGGCAGAAAACACAATTCACAGAATTAAGGATCCAAGAACAAAAGTGATAAAAAAATCAACGAAGTGAAATTCAAAAATCTATACTCTAATGTCCCAGGGGGAGATGTAACCCAAATTGACAGCTATCTAAATTCTCTAAAGTTGCCCACTTTAAATGAAGAACAAAAAAGAAGGATGACGGCAGATATAACGGAAGATGAACTAAGATCTGCAATTAGGTTAGAATTAAGCAAGTCCCCAGGATCAGGTGGATATACGAGTGGTATAAGGAATTAAAAAATGAGCTGATCCCTGTAATACTTCCCACACTGAACTGGACTTTAAAACAGGCGCAAACGCCACCCAGCTGGAAAGAAGCAATAATTTCAGCTATTCCGAAAGAAGGCAAGGATAAAATGGAATGTTCTAAATATAGATTATAGATTATTCACCTCCATCATGGCAAGACCATTAGAGGAGTTTTTACCCATGCTGATATGTAATGATCAGACGGGGTTTATACAACAACGCCAAACACAAGGTAATATACGAAGGACACTACACATTATGGATCATATACAAAAAAATAAGATCGAAGCAATAGTGATAAGCGTAGATGTTGAAAAGGCTTTTCACTCTGTTAACTGGACTTTACTTTATAGAGTCCTTCATAGTTTGGTCTCCATGAGACAATTATTAAAACTATTCCACCAGGATTAAAATCAACGGATAATTATCAAACAATTTCAATCTAGAAAGAGGTACAAGACATGGTTGTGCGTGGTCACCACTACTCTTCGCATTATATTTGGAGCCGCTTGCTCAATACATCAGACAAAATGAAGATATTAGAGTAATTACTATTAAAGTGACGGAACGCAAATTGGCCTGCTACGCAGATGATATTCTGATCTACCTGGGGCAATCAACATACTTAAAAAAAAAAGAAAATAGCTATGTGACAGGATCTTATTAAATTATTAATATAAAAGGATAGTCATATTTAAGGCTTTATCTACAGCTTAGCATGGGTATTTAAGTAAATTGAATTTGAGTGAAATAGAAATCTAACTTAATCACTGATGTGGATTATATCTCAAGGAATTAGTTTATGTCAAAGCACTCTTCCTATTACTAAACATATGTTAGCTCAGCATAACATATCATTGTAGGTACATTTATTATTATTTTGCATCAAAACTCAGCTTCGTTAAGTCTTTTGTTAACAATTAGATGTGTCTCTGTGTTTTCCTGCAGGAATGTAGATGCTCGTAAAAAAGGAGAGGTGGTGACATAAAACCTTGTAGGCTCAGCCCTTATGTGGGTCTTATATTTCATAAATCAGTTTGAGTGTCAAGACTGACACCAAGCTGTTGTGTCTTATCTGCTGTGAGTCTATCCAGGCACATGGTGAATTAAGGGTCCAACGACTTAGTGACCTAGGGGTCCTGAGAGCAGTTTATTAGTTAAGATTTTAAGGTTAAAGAATTTTTGACATCGTTGTTATTATCACATTTCAGTTTTCATCATCTTTCCTTCTTCGTTCACAACACAGGAAAATGGTCTAATTGTGTTAAAACAACTAAATGTGGGCAGATAAGTCTGTAAGGATACCCAAAACAATTCAAAGAAAGCAAAACAGCAACTGGATTGAAGGTTACATCCACGATAATGAAGAAACAGCCTGAGATAGCGTTAACGAACTTCGCTCGGCTGTCATAGTACTAATATATCAAACTAATACAGGCTGATCGTGTCTCCTCTTAGCCTAGCTTTAGTTTGAGACCTGTTACCACTCCGATGGCTCGCCCGCGGCCGTGGTTTTTGAGTTGTGGAGAATTTAGGAAAGTAAATAATGGTGAAATAACTTATAGATAACTGTATTTAGACATAAATAAGCTTTAGTTTGAATCATGAATACACATTCCTACACAGCCTAGGTATGTTACTATGGTTACCATGGGTCCCCAAATGTCCTTTTTTAGAAAGCGCCTAGACATACCCTTAGTAAAACATGTGTAAAATATTAATTATTTGTGGTATTGTTATCAAATTTGAACTTTGACTAGGTAAGGCTTCATGATCTGGTCCCATTGTGTTTTCCAGCTAATAAGTCCCAGCTATAGTCATCTGCAGGCATCTGTTTGCAAAGAAATATTCAGGCGGAAATAAAAACCTTCTATTTCAGTGTGTTCCAACTTCTATTAGTCTACACCAGTAGCACTTACAGTGATTCTGACTGTTGGGGAAAAAACGTCAGAGTGTTATCTTTCAAAAGAGACCAAAACCATGCATGTACTCCAAATGGTTCAAGAACAGCTTTCAATTTACTTTGGGTATGCCTTGGATAGGCGTTTTAGGCGAATTTTACAGGAGTGGTAACAACTTAGCTAATGTCAAAGAGTAACATGCTGGGTGACGTTCTTTTTGATAGAATGATGAGTTGATGAATCTGCGAAGATTGGGCGGAGATGGGGAGGTGGAGGGTTGCGCAACAGCAGCTTGAACGAACTGAAGGTAGAGAGACGATCATATTTAAAGAAAGACAGCAGCAAGATGATAGGCTAACGATGTCCTTGTGTCGTGCTATTGGCTAGAGAGACCAGCTGATCTAGACAGCTGATATCATGATTGACAGCCCCGAACAATAACAGCAAGGAAATACTGTGTGCCTGCATGAGGAGTGATGGCAGATGTATGGGAGATAAACTATGGGCTTAGGCATGCGAGAGTATAGTCTTCCTGTCTGAACTTACGCTAGAGCTTCATTACATTCTATTTCTTCTTTTTCCTTTCCGTCATGAATGTTGTAAATGGTTTCCCATTCTCTAAGTGGATGTCTTCAAATGTCTTGTTGGAAACTCAAAGATGTTCAGTTTATAATTATATAAACCAGAAGAAAGCAGCCAGACAAGTGTTGAGTCTCTGCTTGAAAAACTAAAGATGTATTCATTATCAAAATGGTTGCAGATTCATTTCTGGCAGTTTACCAATTCATCCTTTCAATAATTGTTTCAGCTCTGCTTATACTTTTATGTAAATGAGACACATCTAAAAGCAAAGGTGTTTCTACCTGTTCTGAATAGCTAGACGTCTTCCTGGCTGCATCCCACTTTGACCAAATGAATGCTCACCGTAACCAGTACTCCACCTGGACAGTGTTCATGATGTTCTAGTTGTTTAAATTCATAACATAATCAGATAACATTACTTTCAAGTGATCCACATCAACTGTCAATTTCAGGAAATGTCATGATTTACCAATTTTTTACCTTCAGATAGTCGGAAGTCAAGATCATTTACTCTGTTTCACCTGAAAGCACCATTATTGAAATCTCTGTCGTCAGACTGCCTGATTTGGGATTCAACCTGGCCTTGCGTCTTCGGATCCAGGATCCAGTCCCTGAATTAGAACACATTTTCTTTGTATGTGTTTGAATTGAATCTCTCAATGCCCCTGCAGGTGCTGGTGTCAGATGGTGGTCCTAGTCCTAGGCAGAGTACAGTGTGGGTGATGGTTCAGGTCCTGGATGAAAATGACAACAAGCCCACATTTCCTGAGAAGGTCTACCAGGTCAAACTTCCAGAGAGAGAGCGTAGAAAGAAGGGCGAGCCCATCTATCGGGTGTTTGCCTACGACCGTGATGAAGGGCCCAACAGCGACCTCTCCTACAGCATCGTGGACGGAAACGAGGAAGGGAAGTTCTTTATCGACCCCAAGACTGCAGTTGTATCTTCACGCAAGGCCTTCACTGCAGGGAGCTACGACATTCTGACTGTATGCATACCTTCATCAATTATTAGGCATGACTGCCGACACGTTTTCGGACATCTAGAATGTCTGTTGAATTCTCATGCCTCTACATCTTAGGAATGCGTGGATTTTGTGTTTTCTCCTTATATTTGGCATTAATATCAGTTCAGTTCATGAAAGAAACCTGCCTGATGAGAAGATACGCATTTTGGTTCCAGATTTCTTAAGGCCCTATAACTCGAAGGAAACACTGAAAGCTGCAGGGTTATTGTGTGTCAACTGCGTTGTGGTAATTGAACTGAAATGTTTATTTTGGGAATACACACAACTAAAGCACAATATCAAGATAAGGAGATTAAGTTGGGTGCTGCTTAATTACCTGATGTTGATTCTTAAATAGAGTCACAATCTAGTTTCAAGACCTTCATTATTTCAGTTATGTACTTGAATAGTGAATGTGCCTAAATCACAAAACAAACAGGGAGTGGGAGGAGGTGGGACAGGACTACATAGTATCATAGCATCATGCAAATCTTTTTGTCAAATTGATACATTTTCAACTCAACAGATCCGCCTTTCTGCCCTGAAAAATCACTCAGTGTCTTTTTGCCTATGTTAAAAGTTGACTGTATGCATTCAGGCCACCTCTAAATTCATCCCAGTATCTTACAAATAACAATCATAACGGACAGTTCAGAGCCTCACAACTTACATGCCAATTCCAACATCCTCTATGTAACGAGGCATACGGTGAGGATGAAGAGGTCGGGGGGCTGATGAATGTGTAGCACATGCAGGAGACTGCACACTCTTGTAATAAATGTTCACGTTTCTTAACTGTCACCATACTGTAGCTGTATAGAAAACATTGGCCCCTGGAATGGACTTGCTAGTTTGGGTTTGGGGTTGCCAAATTTCCCTTCACATTGCATCAAAACAGGAATTTCAATACCCAGAAATATCCATGCATCTTTTTTTTCTGTATGCTATTTCAGTGTGGCTTACTTTACAATCTAACTGTGCTCTTCAGATCAAAGCGACAGACAACGGGCGTCCTCAGAAATCCTCCACAGCTCGCCTGCACATCGAGTGGATTCGTCGATCCCCTCCCTCAACTGTCCCAGTACTCTTCGATGAGCCATTCTATAATTTCACTGTCATGGAGAATGACAAGGTGGCAGAGATTGTGGGTGTGGTGTCCCTGCAGCAGAGCTCCGCCCCCTTGTGGTTTGACGTCACAGGTAAAATCTCCCTATCCTCTTTCACTGTTGTGTGAGATCGGGTGTGTGTTGGTGTTTGTATGAGGTGCAGCTCAGACACTGTGGCCTTGCTGCATGATCTGTTATGCTCTGCCCATCCCAGTCACCATGGTGACAGCTTCCCCAGCTGTCAGGTCTGTATATCCTGAAGGAAATGACAACAGTTGGCAGTCTATAGAGAACTCTTGTGGATTGAATTCAGAATCAAACCTAAACAAAAGTATCTTCATGTTTCCTGAGACTCTTTTGTCAGAAAGACTTTCCCTTTAAGAGATTAAGTGTTATTTATAAGTATTATTCATGACTTATTCAGTTCCTTTCATAATGTCTCTGCTTAGAGGAGACACTGGCTAGCTCTCAATAAAGAACATTCAGAAAGATTTTAAAGCCAGTGTGACATTCCCCTATAGATGGTAAATGCCCTACGTTGAGCACTTAAATCCCTTGGAGCCGTCAAAGTTCACTTTCACCCACTTGAACGGCTTAACAAGATTATGTCATGCCCAGTGCTCTAAGTTCAATTTTTACGCATTATATATGATGACGATTCTGATGTGTTAAAAGTGAGTTAATAATTCTAATAATCAGTACTTTTGATTCTAATTCCATTAGTTTTATAATGCTATTCAATACTATATGTACACTGACAGGTCCCCAGCCGTGATGCATGCACTGTGCGCTCAAATCAGCCCACACTAGATGTGTGGGCTGCAGTTCCCACAATGCACCATTCATCTTTCCTTTTGTTGTCACTGAGCCGTGACAATCAGTGTGTATCCAGCTGGAGACACCTTCTGGCTCTCCATAGCTCTGTCCATCTCTCTGTCATTCATACTGTCTCTGTCCATCTCATCTCTCTCTCTCTCTCTCTCTCTCTCTCTCTCTCTTACTGTGTCTGTCCATCTCCTCGCTCTCTCTCTCTCTCTCTCTCTCTCTGTCTCTTTCATACTGTCTGTGCCCATCCCTTTGCAGCCTTTCTGTGGGATCACAGCTGCATTTGATTTTTGCATAAATGAGGCAATATGAATAAGCTTTGATTTGGTCAACCTCCCAGGATCCATTTAGCATTACACTGTAACACGTAACACTGTGCATACATGTTGTGTGTGCAAAACCAATAATGCAATATGCAGATCAAATTGACATGTAAATATGAAAAATATATGTATGTACACATCTATATTTATCTAAATGCAATCACATTAATATGTGATTGATTTAATGTGATGACATTTATAATGAATGTAAAGCCTACATATACATATAATATTAAGTGTATATACACAGTTAAACATATCAGAATAACAATAATCGTGGCTTGGTCATGATGAAGCATTCGAGTATGTATTGAGAAAAAGCTCAAAGTATAAAGTATAAAATAACTGGAAATAATTTATCGTGAGAAAGAGCTGTGACAGGTTTTTATTTTGACGTCATTGAATATTTGTTGTTCTGAGATCTTAGAAAAGGGCAGGTCTTTGTCTCCTTATCAGCAGATGACTAGTTTGGATTGTAAGAAACATTTTTGTCAACGTCAAAATTGCAAAAGAGGTTGCTTGTGATAACAGCTAAGTCCATTTTATAAATAATGTTTATCAGTGGTCTCTCTGTCCAAAGAAAAGAAGACGGGTCTCTCCCAAGGCTTCAAGGTTTGGTCAGTGTGTGAATGCGATGCACCCAGCCGCAGCATCACAGGCAGAGCAGCTGACGTAGTTTAAAGGGCGAGAGAGTCCACGCAGGGAGGGAGGTGGACGGGTCATCCAGGAGACCGCTGTTCATTTACTGTGAAAGACCAAAAGTAAACGATGACACTTTGATTCAGCCTTTAGTCAGAATATTTCTTTGAAAAGACACTATGCATGTGACGAGCGTATATTTATATGCCGTAAAAAAAAAGGATTCTCAGTTTGTAGCTTAATGCCACTGACCAAGCTGCGTTATTTGACTGAGAATGTGTTGCAAATTACACTTTCCTTTGGCACGAGTTGTAAAATGTTAGATATTGTTTGTCATGAACTTAAATTCACATAAATTAGCGTTAGTGTAGTTAAATCGTAATATTTTCCTGGGACTAACTTCTTAATATGACAATATTAGTAATTCAGACTTTACAATGTTGTTTTTCAGTAGCCCATGTACCAATCATTTGACAGAGGTTCAGCTCATCAGAAGCAGTTGCTGTCCCCGTCTTGTCTAATCAGTCTGTCTCCTCACCTCCTTTGCTCACTACACCATCCTCCTGTCTTCCTCCCCCCAGCCTGTCGGTCCTTCCTGTCTCACCTTCTCTCTCCTCTCTCTCCTCAATGCTTCATGCCTGGAAGGTCCCAGGTCTTTCCGTGAGATGTTCTATATACTGCAGAGTGGTTGTGGCAGGAACTGTTCCTCAGAAGGTATCTCGTTTCCAACTTCCACTACCCCTGTTAGCTGTCTTCCCTTTCTTTGTTTTCCTTTTCCTTTTCATTGATGCTCATCATCCCCCCCCTGTGCTTCTTATCGGTGCTGCTGACATATTCCTGTGTTTGGTGGGTTGGAGGCGGTTAGCGATGGGGAATGAACCACAAAGCTTACCCGAGAAGACGAGTGTGTCTGAGTCTGTGTTAATGTTTATCCTGTGTGAATGTGTGTGTATGTTTTTCACATTTATGGACTTAATTGCAGCCAAGGTTCATTGATGGGATGAAGGTTTGGTAAAAAGATATCACTACCTTTTTATATGCTGTAATGGAAAAAATTCCTATACCCGCTTTGCGTGAGTCTTTTCATGCTGAAATACAAAATACCAAACACCAGGTTGTCTTTTAAGTATTTATTCTCTGCGCAGAGAAGGTTCAATCATCACAACAGAATGCGTACAGTCTCAGTGAGGAAGAACCAAGAACAAAGTGAACAAGCTTTCTTTATACAGAATGAGCAAAGGTGGGGGCCGATGGCCAATGTTACAGACATTTCAGTATCAGACTGATAGGAACAACATTCAAAAACAAACGGTCAGCAACCAAAGCAAGTGGCCCAAAGGCCTTGGTGCTGGAACATTCTCATACAACACAGTTAGTTATCTCTGTGAACAGGCAAGGGAGAACTCTTCCTCTGCACAACAGAGACACGGTGAAGTTCAACAAAGTTCAGAGCAAAATTACTTATGCATGAATACGATATACTGAGTAGAAATATATACTAAGTAAGTAAAAATATATACTACATAAAAAATTATCATTACAATGCTCCCATGGCAACAATGGGTGACAGCTTTGTTAATTCTCTCACATTGTTACTTTTGTCCTGTTAACACCATGTCTCAGGACACCAGGTCAGGACTGTTGACCATCTGGTTAAATGCCCAGATTATCAGCCTGTGATTATTGTTGATGTCTGTCATGTCTTAGGTTTCATTTTAAACAGCTAAACTTGTGGATGGCAGATGGGCTCCTGTTAATAGGTTTACATTTAGCTGTTGAGACCAAATATATTCTTTATACATTCATTGTAAATGTGCAACCAACAAAAACTGGGTACAGAATATAACTAAAAGAATTAGATTACACACGAGTGCAGTGTGTAAAACTTAGTGGTGTGTTGCAGATTGCAACCAACCAAATAGCCCTCTGCTCACTCCTCCCATTCCAAGGCTGCGGTAACGTGAGCTGGAGAGTGCAGAACTGTGGTCATGCCGAGGTATTTCTCAGAACCTGCGCCTCGCCTTGCCTTTACCTATATAGCACCTTTCAAAAACAAAGTTACAAAGTTCTTCACAATACACAAAAAGTAAACACGATAAGGATATAAAGAAGAAAAAAACATGTAAACAGGTTACTGAGGCATGGAGTTCCACAGCTGAGGGGCCAGGACAGCTAAAGGGATTTTGGAACCACTAGTAGGGCCCTGCTAGAGGATCAGGTTCATAAGGAGTTAGCAAAGAAAAAAGCCGTAATATCTAAAAATCAATTCTAAAACTCACAGGAAACCAGTGAAAGGCAGCGAGGATTGTGGTGATGTGGTTGCTTCTCTTAGTACGTGTTAAAAACCTGGCAGCAGCATTTTCTATTTACTTTGGATCTTTTTGGATGTTCCGCCTGCTGAATACCAGAATAAAGTACGTTGCAATAATCAAGTCTGGAGGAGATAAAAGCATGGATGAGCATTTTTAAGTGTGCAGAGGAAAAGAATGACCTGATCTTAGTTGGGCAAAGCAGGGCTGAACAACTTTTGTGTCCTTTGCTTCAAGACAAAAATCAAAAATGATGGCGAGGTTGCGGATGTCTTTACGTGCATTGTGAGAAAAGGAACACTGACCAGAGAAGAGACTATGAATGCAGCTAGTGCTGGTGCTATGGGCTCTAATGTTTGGTTTGTCCATTCTGGGCTACTTTAGAATCATGGCCGTGCAACATGGAGGACGTCCTATATAGATATAAAGGACTCATTCTGAGCTAACGAAACGCTAGTTGGATTGTGATCATACACTAATAAAAACCTATTAATTCATTTTTATTCCATTTCAACCAGTAGATCCATGAAATGCTACAAACCGGCCCTTTGAGCTACTTGAAAGTGTTGAAAGTTGAACCCACAGTAATTAGTATAAATTAATCAATAAGCAGATTTAATACAGTATTCACATCCATGTAAGATGCTATTGAACCCCAATCCGTTTTGTGAATGTGCATACAGTAGTGCGAGTAACATGCCACTCATCCTGAGACCACAGACCTGCGGACAATTGTAGGTCTAAACGTCTGGGACTCCCCACTAACAGCAGCTAAAGAAGTTGAAGTACTTGAATGAGTCTACCACTTCAGTCCAGTGCACTATTCATTTTGTCTAGACATGGGATAGATGTGTGCAGACTACCCCATCGATCTGGGAATCAAAGGGATCGGCCAGGCCATTTCAGAGGAGCTGCTTCACTGCAAGAACAGCTGGGCTGTGTGCGTCTTCAAATGGGCTCGACAAACAGACAATCAGAGGACATAAAGGCACATGGTGCAGGGCACACACACATACTCACACACAATCATCACAGACACGCACCAACATAGCCATCCACTTAGACAGCCGATTGTGGCAGATTCTTTCTCTACAGAGGACACCCAGTGTAGCTAAATGAAACGTTTCATTAAAAAACAAACAGAAGCTGATCAGACAAACACAAACACATATGTTGAACCTGTGTGGGCCGAATGTTTTAAATCCATTCACTACGTGTACAGAGCAGAGGAAAACACACACAGCTTGCATGGCCAGTGCTCATGCTTCACTGTTGCTGTGATGTCGTGCTTTTGACTGTCGGTTTGCAAGTTTGTGGGTGTGTGTGTGTGGGGGGGGGTGGGGCTTAATCTTGTCAGCAGCTATCCCTCCCTCATCTATACCATCCCACACTCCGAAGACAATCAATGAAGAGCATGTGCAGCAATGGTCTCCAGTCATGTGCTGCTCAGGCGGAGTATACAGGCAAAACATAAAATGTACTGCTGTTTATGTCATATCCAAACTAATGTTTGGGTATTTCAGCACATGGTTGCACATGAATGAAAACCATTGGTCTGTAAATAAATGTATGTCTGTATGACTGACACTGTCTGAACCTCCCTCCTCCCGTGGAGCAGGTGGGAACAGCGACAGCGTGTTTGACGTAGAGAAGGCTGTGGGCACCATCATCATCGCCAAGCCTCTGGATGCTGAGCAGCGTTCCTTCTACAACCTGACGGTGCAGGCCAGCGACGGCACCAACACTGCATACACACAGGTAACCTTTGTTCCATCAACCTTTCATTGTTTGCTGGTTTACAGTTATAACTTCTTACTGTTTTTGGAGCAATTCAAAATGCTAATGCACAGATGCCACAAAGGAAGAGTTTACATAATGAATTGTTATTTGAGCAATACGTTACCTAACAGACATAAAACATGATGTTGAAACACAGTCCATGAACCAAAATGACTGGATCACATTAGATACAAAGAGTCCTCTGAACAGAGAATGAGCAGGGCAGATTCTTGTATCTTCAGTAGAAATGACACACAAGCAGCCCATAGCATATGAGCTGGGAAAAGATAGTGGTAATGGAAGAGAAGGTGTGGTTTTACACTCCAGTTTACTGATCAAATCACAAGGATTATCTTCAGAGATGCCACGACTAACAGCCTGGACAAACATCACAGCAGATAACAAAGGGTGGCAGAGTATCAAGAACACAGACAGCCACTGCAATTACAAATTGGGCTTTACATGCTATGAATCAGAATCAGAATTGTTTATTTTGCCAGAGTATGTTGCACATTCTAGGAGTTTTACATGGTTGTGGATAACATTAAACACTCAACACAGTGCAAAAAATAGAAACATATTAAAATGTACAATAAAATATAAAATATAGTGCACAGATAACAATACTTGTTATGTACTTGTTCTATCTAGGGTTTTTAGGGATTATGTATGTATATGCACATTGGTCAGCACTTTACTCTAATTTAGCCACCTTCCCCATGTGGACCCGACATGTGTTAAGAAAAGGAGAAAAACAATATACAATACAGAAAGAGAAGTTCCAGTGCAACACATGGCCGAGTGTATTTTATTGCCATGTAATGTAACCAGGCTCTTCCTCAGACTTCTAATAAATACAGAGAGTTGCAACTTGCTGCTCATGCTGGTAGATTATGAGGCTCCCAGAAGTCATTTCCAGGTTGGTCTAGAGAGAGACATGCACACGCAGATTGTGTACAATCTTTTTATTTTTTGATCACTAAAATCTTCATTTTTAATTATATCTCACCCATTTAACTATCGCCCCCCAAAATATCTGATCCATAAAAGACTTCACATGCACTCTCCCAAGAGGAGAGTCCTTATCTTCTAAATAAGTAGTAAAATAACAGCAAGCGCACATCATGAATATGTGTTCATATATTAAATCAACCCTTATTCTGTCTCCCCCAAGAGTGATCTCAAGATAACGGGGGGGTGTTGGCTAGTACTGTGCACCGTGTTTGTGGAGTCTGCATGTTCTCCCCGTGTCAGCGTGGGTATTCCAGCTTCCTCCCACAGTCCAAAGACATGCAGCGTAGGTTAATTGATGACTCTAAATTGCCCGTAGGTGTGAATGCGAGTGTGAATGGTTGTCTGTCTCTACATGTCAGCCCTGAGATAGTCTGGCTAACCTTCGCCCAAACAGCTGGGATCGGCTCTAGCCCCCCCCCCCCCACGACCCTAAAGATAATGGTTGGATAATGACTATGAATATGGAAATATAATATAGTCCGTAATAAAATAGTATAACATATAGAATATGGTTTTAGACAGCTTGGAGTCACTCAGGATCCCTTGCCATGAAAGCCCTCTTGTTTCTGTTGAGAAAGCCTTTAATATTCTTATAGATATAAGAATCAGAATCAGCTTTATTGGCCATGTACGCTTACGCATACAAGGAATTTGACCCCGGTTTTTCGTTGCTCTCTATGTACATACACAGAATTTACAATAAACAGGAATGATGTAAGCATAAACATTTAACGACCATGTACAATATAAAAATATATTCAAAAAGTGTATATATTAGTGCTGGTAACGCGTTAATTTCGCGTTAACGCATTCATTAATTAACGCCGACAATTATTTTATCGCGCGTTAACGCATTTATTAAATTTATTATAATTTTTTTTTTTTTTTTTTTTATTGAAAGACAAGAGACAATACATAGACATAACAACAAGAGAATGACAAGGACAGTGGGATAAAAGCCAGCAAACATCCTATAGTCAGTCAGATTAATGTGAGACGAACATCCGGTTTCTTCAGACGAACATCCGGTTTTCAGAATAAGATGCCAACAAAGTATGAATTATATTCACATTAAGTACAAAACATGCTACCTGTATCTCGTGAACCAAATGTTATTGCCCTTTTGTTCATATAGCAGTACTTTTAAAATAAGTGTGCAATACACTACTTTTGAATTCATTATTGAACTTTGCCATAACAATGGATTTTTTGCGATTAATCGCAAAAAATCCATGCGATTAAATATTTTAATCGTTGCCCAGCACTAGTATATATATATATACTGTATATATGAACATAACCCTATACAACAATGCAACAACAGTGTCAATGGAATTAAGGTGATAGTGCAGAATGGAGGTAGCAGTGATGTATGACTGATTCATTGTTCATCCAAGTGACGGCCAGCAGAAAGAAGCTGTTCCTGTGTCTGGTGGTTTTGACAGAGCTCTGTAGCACCTACCAGAGGGGAGCAGTTGAACAGCTTGTGTCCAGGGTGTGATGGGTCTACAGTGACCTTGCCTGCCCGTTTCCTGACTCTGGAGGTGTACAAGTCCAGGATGGAGGGCAGGCTGGAACCAATGATCCTCTCTGCAGACCTGACAGTCCGTTGTAGTCTGTTTCTGTCCTGTTTGGTGGCCGATCCAAACCACACAGCGATAGAGGAACAGAGAACAGACTGGATGATAGTGGAGTAGAACATAATCAGCAGCTATTGAGGCAGGTTGAACTTCCTGAGCTGGCGCAGGAAGTACAACCTCTGCTGGGCCTTTTTCCTGATGGTGTTGATGTTGGGGGCCCACTTCAGGTCCTGGAGATTGTGGATCCCAGAAACCTGAAGGTCTCCACAGCAGACACAGTGTTGTTGAGTATGGTGAGGGAGGGCAGTGTTGGGGGGCTCCTCCTAAAGTCCACTGTCATCTCCACAGTTTTGAGCTTGTTCAGCTCCAGGTTGTTCTGACCACACCAGACGACCAGCTGTTCAACCTCCCGTCTGTACGCAGACTCGTCACCGTCCCTGATGAGGCCGATGACCGTTGTGTCATCTGCGAACTTTAGGAGTTTAACAGTTGGGTCCTCTGAGGTGCAGTCGTTGGTGTAGAGGGAGAAGAGCAGTGGGGAGAGCACACATCCCTGGGGGGCGCCGGTGCTGATAGTCCGGGTGCTGGATGTGATTTTTCCCAGCCTCACCGGCTGCGTCCTGTCTGTCAGGAGGTTTGTGATCCACTGACAGGTGGAGGCTGGCACAGTGAGCGGGGAGAGTTTAGGTTGAAGTACCTCCGGGATGCTGGTGTTGAACGCTGAGCTGAAGTCCACAAACAGAACCCTTGCATATGACCCTGGGGAGTCGAGGTGTTGCAGCATGTAGTGCAGTCCCATGTTGACTGCATCATCCACCGACCTGTTTGCACGGTAGGCAAACTGCAGGGGGTCCCGCAGGGTCCATGTGATGTGCTTCAGGTGGGTCAACACTAGTCTCTCAAAGGATTTCATGACCACAGACGTCAGGGCGACGGGCCTGTAGTCATTAATCCTGTGATGGAGGATTTCTTGGGGACCGGGATGATCGTGGAGCGTTTGAAGCAGGAGGGGACTTCACACAGCTCCAGAGATCGGTTGAACATCTGCGTAAAGATGGGGGCCAGCTGGTCAGCACAGACTTTCGGGTGGAGGGGGACACACCATCTGGGCCTGGTGCCTTCCTGATCTTCTGTCTGTGAAAGAGCCGACTCACATCCTCTTCACAGATCCTCAGTGCTGGTGGGGGGGTCGGTTGGGAGAGGTGAGGAGGTGGCAGGTGGTTGTTTGATGATGGGGCAGTTGGGGGGGGGGGGGTGAGAGTGGGCTTATCAAACCTGCAGTAGAAAACATTCAGGTCATCAGCCAGTTGGTGATTCAGGCTACATCCATACTACTCCGTTTCTATTTGGAAGCAGGTTTGTCAAATAGAAATGATCTCCGTCCACATGGGCGTTTCAGCATCATTTTCGAATTAATCTGCATCCACACAGCAACCTTTGAAGACGGACAGCACGTGACCATACACTGGGCATACGCGTACACTGGGCACGTACACTGGGCATACGCGTGACGGTGTAAACAGGAAGTAGATTGGTTGCTTAGTTTAAAAAAAATACGACAGAGTAATAAAGTAGTCTTTAATAATGAAAGGTTGTATTTGATACTTAAGATCTTCCTCTAAAATAGTGCTCTATAAACTCAAACAGACAGTTCGTGAAAAGTTTTATTTTTCAGACTCAGTTACAGCGCTGCGGGTCTTTATCTCTCTCTCTCACATCAAATTTACTTTAAAATCAACACTTACACGTAAACGTTTACTAGATTATGGATCCATAAATGTGGTCAACACACGTCTCTCACTCTATTCTGCTCCTGCTTCGTGCAGGAAAGCTTAGCAGGGTCACGTGATAGTGAGTGTGACGAATCAGGGACGGAGACGTCATGGCTGCTAAGAACCAATCCAGTAGCGAACACGGGTGTGGGTGTCATTTTTTCTAAACGCATCAGTTTCCGACCGTCCACACTCAAACGCAGCCCCGGAGTTTTCAAACACCTCCAATCTCGGGGGTGTTTTCAAACTCCTCCGTTTAGGGTGCTCCAAAAGTCCGGCGTAGTGTGGCCGCTCAGTGTAAATGTAGCAAAAGATATGTGTTTCCAAACGTAAGAGGAGTAATGTGGACAGGGCCTCAGTGTAGCTCTTCTTAGCTACCTTGATCTGGATGTTTGTGCTCCATGTTGGTGATTTGCTCAGCCAGGTGTTGGAGCGCCTCACTCACACAGGCCTAAGGTGGGATGTAAACACCTGCCAGAGTGAATGAGGAAAACTCCTGCAGTGAATAAAATGGTTTGCAGTCTATGAAAAGTGTTTCTAAGGCCATGTCCACGCTACTCTGTTTCCATTTGAAGACGCATATGTTTTGCTACGTTTACACTGAGCGTCCACA